CACATAAGCAAAAAAGAAAAGAAAAAAGCCGGAAGTGGCGCTGTGGCTCAAGTGAGCTGAAGAGCTGAGGGACAGCACCCAGGCCCAGAGTTCAGGGCCCATGACCAGACCCAAACAACAACAACAACACTTAATACTGAAAGCAAAAATGAAATAAATTAAAATGTTCACTATTTAGTTGGAGGCAAAATTACATTGAAACAAATAATATTCAATAACTTTAAAACAGTAACATGGCTCACACCTGTAATCCTACATGTGGAGATCCAGAGAGTCAAGGTTCAAAGAGAGCGTGGATGAGAAAGACTGAAAAATTCTATCCTCAAAATAACCAACAAAAAAACAGGTTTCAATTGTGGCTCAAATAGTAGAGCACTGCTTAATAAGCTTGATCAAAGTATTGGGTTCAAACTCTAGATACTGGCAAAAAAAAAAAAAGCCAAATAAAAGTTCTATAATCCTAATTTTAACCTGGAAGTACTAACATTAACTCATGCTGCATTTCCTCTTTAAAAAAATGTTAGGGGCTGGGAAGGTGGCTCAGTGGTAGAGCGCTTGCCTTGCATGCCTGAGGCCCTGGGTTCGATTCCTCAGCACCACATAAGCAAAAAGAAAAAAACCGGAAGTGGTGCTGTGGCTCAAGTGGTAGAGCGCTAGCTTTGAGCTGAAGAGCTGAGGGACAGCGCCCAGGCCCAAAGTTCAAGCCCCATGACTGGACCCCCCCCCAAAAAAAAATGTTAGTATGGCTGGGCACCAGTGGCTCATGCCTGTAATCTTAGCTACTCAGGATGCTGAGATCTGAGGATCACTGCTCAAGCCAGCCCATGCAGGAAAGTCCCTGAGACTCTTATCTCCAATAAACCACCAGAAAACCGGAAGTGCCACTGTGGCTCAAGTGGTAGAGCAGTAGCCTTGAGCTGACGTGCACAGGGGCAGTGCCCAGGCCCAGATTTCAAGCCCCATGACTCCCCCCCCACACACCAAAATTATTAGACTCCTCTTTTGACTTCTCTCCTGATAGATTGTGCTACTGTCTTTCACAGCTACCCTTTCATTTTTAAATAAATATACTGCTCACTTAAAAAATTAGTGCACATGGAGATTTCAAAAGGAAACCTCCTGTACATAAATATGTAGTTAGAGGGAAAAAGTCCTTTTAAGTGAACAAAAGCTCTCCACTGAAAAGGCCATATAGTAACAGGCACCCAATTAACAATGAGATTCTCTGATTACCAGATTTATGGTCTCCTAATCCCATTTCTCACTAAAAGATCTAAGTGTTACCAGAGAAATGGTACATTCCAGATCTGAGATAGAAAATTTGTACTTTGCACTGTGCATATTCTGACATGTTGGATTTGTGTCAAAGGATTCAAAAGTCAACATGAAATGTCTACTAGTGGCCAAAGATATGATAAAAAAAAACTGTATGAGTTAAAATTCATCAATTGAGTACATGGTTGGGCATGGGGGTGCTAAACTAATACCCATACTTTAAAGGACATTTTCTAGAAAATATTGTTATTGTATTGTTAATATGCTCAAGGACTGAAGTGATAGTCACAATAATAATCTAAATGAGAAAAATCACATAGGAAACATATAGAGAGATAGCAAGATCATGTGTCAGCCATCTTTTTTTTTTTTTTTTGGTTAGTTGTGGGGCCTGAACTCTGGGCCTGGGCACTGTCCTTCAGCTCTTCAGCTCAAGGCTAGTGCTCTACCACTTCAGCCACAGCACCACTTCTGGTTTTCTGAGTGGCTTATTGAAGATGAGTGGTTTACTGGAGGTAAGAATCTCACTGGATTTCCTGCTTGGGCTGGCTTTGAACTCTCATCCTCAGATCTCAGCCTCCTGAGTAGAGGATTATCGGCGTGAGCCATCAGTGCCTGACACAAATCTGATTTTTGAGACTTTCTGCTGAAAATCCTTCAATGACTTTCCACTGCTCTTACAACATTACATAAATTCTTTGAATAATATCACAGGGGAGCTCATATAGATTTCTCTATATTTGAGTGGTTTGATCCTCCTGTATGAAAGTTTAAAAAAAAGGACAGAAAAGAAAAAGCTGACTAATTTGGCTATGTAACAAGTCAAAAATAAATGTCAGGGCAAGGTGGCTCAGGTCTGTAAACTTAACAAATCAGGAGGCTGAGATCTGAAGATTGTTGGTTGGAAGCCAGCTCAGGCAGAAAAGTCCAATATTTTTAATTGTACAAATAGCTGGAAGTGGAGCTCTGGCTCAAGTGGCAGGGTGCTAGCACTGAACAAAAGGAGCTGAGGGACAGAGCCCAGGCCCTAATTTTAAGCCCTAAGACTGGCTAAAAAAATAAAAATAAAATAATAAAAATCAAAAACCAAAAATGGAAATAGAAAATAAGCTGGTCTCAAATCTTTAGAACTGCTTTAAAACTGACATCATCTGTCTGGCTGTGACCTACTTTAACACACACTCCTCTTTTGCTTTCCACATTTCAAATGCTGTGACCTTTAAGTTCCTAAAATGGACATCTTCCTGATCTCTGTGGAATGTGTTCTCTCTGGCTGCACTTTTCTCTCCTATAGGAGTCAATCTACATCTATGTGAATGTCATTTACCAGTTTAAATGTCAGTTCTAAGGTTACTTTCCTAGGAAAATCTTACCTAGTATCCTGAGCTGAGCTGGGAATATGTCCTTTGTTGCATTTTCTCACAAATTCCTTACATTCGTCGTTTTAGCTTTTTAGTTCATTGGTATATGTGCATCGAATAATATCAATAAACTTATAATTGTCACCATCAGGTCCTTGACAGTACACAATTTGAAAAAAAACTACAATACTGTATTCACTAGACACTATGTTGAAAATGAATTATACAACTTCTGGGTGGGGGTGGGAGGGAAAAACTGTGAGAAAGGAAGGGAGGGGGTAACATTGTCCAAAAAGAAATACTCGTTACCTGACTTATGTAATGGCAACCCCTCTGCACATCATTTTTATAATTAAAAAAAACTCCACAATACTGTATTAAATACTTAAGGTGTTAAAGTAATTAATATTAAGCTGTAAGTAGGTAATGTACTCATATAATATACTTATGAGAGTGCCGGGCTAAGTGTGTTCAGTGAGGAGTAACTGCTGTTAATAATAATTTTATTAGTGTACTCATCTACTCCCTCCTTCAAGCACACAATTTGTACTATTTTATTTTATATTCATGTTAGTTCTGGGATTTGAACTCCGTGCCAAACTTTCTAGGCAGGCAGTGGCTCTACCGCTGGAGCCACACCACCAGCATTTTAATTGATTTTATTTCTTTATTGTCAGTCGTGGGGCTTGAACACTGGGCCTGGGCGCTGTCCCTCAGCTCTTCAGCTCAAGGCTAGCGCTCTACCGCTTGAGCCACAGCAACACTTCCGGTTTTCTGGTAGTTTATTGGAGATAAGAGTCTCACAGACTTTCCTGCCCGGGCTGGCTTTGAACTTCAATCCTCAGGTCTCAGCCTCTTGAGTAGCTAGGATTACAGGCATGAGCCACCCGTGCCAGGCACTTGATGTTGCTTCTTATTCCACCACCAACCTCAGTATGATACAACGATGTTCAACATTAATTGAATTTTGTTGATTTTAAAATACAAACTTTCGGTATATTTAAAGACACACCAACTTTCAAGAGCTTCTCCCACTGAATCCAAGCCACACGGCTTCACTGTTCCACGCTGTTCTTTCCTACATTAACATCAGTTTCCTGTCTGTCTTCTTAATCATCTCCAACCACGTACAAAGCAATACTAGACACCACTCTAGCTTTCATCACTGCTTACATCCAAGTAAGTAAACTCATTGCCCTGAGTGGAAAGGAACACACCACACGCGCACACACACACACACACACACACACGAATGAAATGAGAGAGGAAAACAGAGAACCTCGGATCGCCAAAATACCACAGCGAAGAGGTGAAGAAGTCCACCTGGCAATGTCCAGACAGATCCTGTCACATCCGGACAGCGCTCGTGTTTGGAGACGGAGGCGTCTCGAGAGCACAGCACTGGAAGTTTCTGGGCGTCCCTCGGAGAGGGAGCGGAGCGATGGGTTTCGGCTCGGTTCGGGAGCCTAGCCGCCCGCGGAAGCGGGAGCCCGAGGTCCGCGCCCACCGGCGCCGGGCAGGAGCCTCGGCCCGGCCTCCGCCCGCCAGCACCGTACCCCGGCTGCAGATCCGCGGCCCGAGACCCCGGGCCCGGGCTCACCATCACCTATGGGCGCTGCGGACACCGATGACCAGCCTGCCACCGGGCCGCGGAAATGCCTGCCCCAGAACGCGGCCAGGAGGGGACGCCCGGCCCCCTCGCCCGGCCCCCGGCGACGCGGCTCCAGGACACTCACCGCCGGGCGCGGCCTCGCCGCCCGGTGCTCAGTTAGCTCAGCGCTCCCCGGCACGGTCGCCACGGCAGGGCAAGAGCGCCGAAGCGCCGCCTCCCCCCCGGCCCCCCCTCCCCCGACCCTCCGATCACGTTCGGTTCCCACGGTGTCCTCCGGGCGCCAAGCGCGCGCCGGAGGCTCCGCTCAGTCCTAGGAGCGCGCGCCGGAGGCGGGGCTGGGACGAGGCGCGCGCAGGAGGCAGCGCGCCTTGGGGGCGTGGCGTACCGGAAGCGCGCCTAGGGGGGGCGTGGTGCGTCGGAAGCGCGCCGGGGGGCGGGGCTTGACGCGTCGGACTGGACTTCGGCCTCAGCGTTCCCACTACTAATGGCGGCTGAGTCGTCCTCGCCGCCGCCGCAGCTGCGAGTTCTCTCGTTTCCCGGGTCGGAAAATGCGGGCAGCTAGGTGTGAGCTCACCTGAGAACGCAGCGTCTACTTACCTACCTCTTCAGCCTCTGACTGAACCCGTGGAGAGATTTTTTTGTCCCTGCATTGTGACAATGTTGAGCTTTACCTGAGCCCCGTCATCTGGAGAGTGACGGTTAAAGGAGACCCCCCCCCCGTCCCTCGGCGGTCCTGACCGGGCTTCATTCGGGGGCCACCCTCCCCGTGGGATGTAGACACGCCTCCCGGCGCCCCTGGTTTACCCCGGGACAAGGTCAGACGCACAGCGCCCCGCGAGCGCCCACCCCGTCCCGGGCTCGGCCGCGCTTCCGGACTCAGGCGTCCGGCCAACACCGGCCGCGCTCCCTCCCGTCCGCAAACCGCATAAGCACCTTTCTCCCCCGCCCCTAAATTGGATCCACCTTTGCCCCGAGCCAGACACTAACTCCTGACCGGAAGCTGGCCTCGAGGTACCGAGCACACTCTGGCCTTTTCCTGCGTCACCTTCTCACTCTGGTCAGGGAGAGAGAGGCCCTTCCAGCCACAGCTTTGAAGCCTGTCCTCTGTTGCCAGGGTCTACTTTCCCCTGTTTGGAATCGTCTCTCTGCGGAAGTCTTACCTAAACCTGTGGAAGACAGAACGCGCGACCTCGCGCTGGCTGAACAAACTTTGCACCGCCGAGCCACTCCCGCAGACACCTGAGATTGGCTTTTCGGTAGTCTGAGCTGTAGGCCTTTGGCAAAAGCCTCCACCCTTGGGGCTCGATCCCTCCCCACCCTGATCCCACTGCGGTAATCTGTTCAAATAAACTCTTTATTTGCTCAAATCCGGATTTGTTTTTTGCTTGACAGTGGTTAGTGCCGGACACAACTTGAGATTGAGTTTCACCAGCAGACCCCTGCCGTCCCTTCCCAAGTAAAGGCAACTTGTGAGTCTTTTGAACTGTTCTCCTGGTCAGCGATTTGGGGATCTATGGTGAGTCCAACTATAAAACCAGTGCTTCTCACCTATCTGCTGATTCTTTTGGACAGAGAGGCTTTTTTTGGGGGGAGGGGCCCCCCGCTGGCATAGAATTCTGATTTTCCTTGCCTCAGTTTCCCAATATTACCAGCTTGCAGCTCCACCCTGGAAAAGATCTCGTTGGTCCTTTGTGAAGCTCTTTGGTGTTTGTTCATTTGTTCCCTGATTTTGTCTTTGTCTTTCTTTGGGGACATACTGAGGCCACCTAACCACTGGGTCATGACCCTAGCCCTTTTTTTTTTTTTGCCTTGATTATTTTCAAGGTAGGGTCTCATTTGTGCCCGGGAAGGCCTGGGCCAACAGTCCAGCTTATGTTTCCTCAAGTCACTGAGCATGACAAGCAAACGTACCCAGTCATTGTTCTTTCTCTGTAGCTAGCTATTGAGATGGAGTCTCCTGAACTTTTATGCTCCAGCTTTTCTTCAACCGTGATTTCTTTGATCTCTGCCTCCCAAGTCATTAGGTTTGAGCTACTATGTACCCTATTCGGTTTAGTGTTCTAACATGTATGGTTTTTCTTTATCCCAACATCATTTGAAGGGTTCTTGTCAAAAATCTGTTGACTAGCTCTGAGCTGATGGCTCACACTTGCAATCCTAGCTACTCAGGAGGCTGAGATCTAAAGATCTTGGTTCAAAGCTACCCTGGACAAAAACTCTTATCTCCAGTTATCTAGCAAAAATGCTAACTAGAGGCAAGGCTCAAGTGATATAGTACCAACTGTGAGCAAGCCTATCTTGCAAGAGCAAGAGAGGCCTTGAGCTCAAGCCCCCCAATGGCAAACAAATGAAAACCTTAGCTGGGGATGCTAATTTTCCTTAACTGATTGTTTTTTTTTTTTTTTTTTGGTGGGTTGTGGGGCTTGAACTCTGGGTTTGGGAGCTGTTCAGCTCAAGGCAAGGGCTCTACCGCTTGAGTCACAGCCCCACTTCCGGTTCTGTAGTGGTTTATTGGAGGTAAGGGTCTCACAGGACTTTCCTGCCAGGGCTGGCTTTGAACTTCGATCCTCAGATCTCAGCCTTCTGAGTAGCTAGGATTACACTGCTTTAACTGATTGTTTCTAAATGCAAATACTGCTTATTGATAATTTGTTAATGAGAAATGTCTATTTAAGTACTTTGCCTTTTGTGTTTTGTTTTAAAAAATAAAAAAACAGGACTCATGCTGGCCTCAAATTGTTCCTTCCTGCTTCAGCCTCCCAAGCTCTGTGGTTACTATAAAGAACCACTACTCCTAGCTCTCCTTTCCCGGCTTTTGAGTGTGGTTGTTTTTGTTATAGCACTTCTTGTTGTTTTAATATATTTTAAATTTACATATGGGTATTAATACTTTCTCAGATACAAAGAAAATTTTGCATTTTCTCACCATTCAGTGGATTGTCTTTAAGATCTTTTCATAGTATTCTTTGGTACACACAAGTTTTTAACTTTGGTTCAGTTTTCCTCCCTCCCTCTCCCCCTCTTCCTCTTCCTCCCTCCCTCTCTCTGTCTCTGTCTCTCTCCCTCTCCCTCTCTCCCCCTCTCTCTTTTGCTTGTGCTTTTGTTGTCATAGCTAAGAAACCATTACCAAATTCAGTGTCATGAAGCTGCCCCTCTAGGTTTTCTACAAAATTTATAGGTTTAGATCTGATTTTTAGGTGTTTAAGCAATTTTAACATATAGTGTAAAATAATTCCCCAGCTGTCACCACATTAGGGGTGAAAGGGTTCCCTCAGTTTTCTAGTTTACATGCAAAAGTCATGGATCCTTGAGATCCACTGGTGAAAAGGATTTCAAAGCCTCACAAAAAGAATCTCAGGGCTGGGAATGTGGCTTAGTGGTAGAGTGCTTGTAAAGCATGCATGCAGCCCTAGGTTTGATTTCTCAGTAGCACATAAACAAAAAAAGCCAGAAATGGTGCTGTGGCTCAAGGGGTAGAGCACTGGCCTTGAGCATAGAGAGGCTCCGGGACAGAGCCTAGGCCCTGAGTTCGAGCCCCAGGACAGGCTGGAAAAAAAGAAAAGAAAAGGAGAATCGCACAAGGTAGAAGTTTTAGAATTTATTTTAGTACATGCAGAAAAAAAAATAGACGGAAGTGGCGCTGTAGCTCAAGTGGTAGAGCGCTCGCCTTGAGTTGAAGAGCTGAGGGACAACGCCCAGGCCCAGAGTTCAAGCCCCACGACCGACAAAAAAAAAAGAATTGTGGCCGAGCTGAGCTGAGACTGCAGTGTTGGGGAGAGACTTGCAAAGAGGGCCAGGGCCAGAGGGTCTGCTGCTGGACGTGCT